CAGCCCACATGTTCTTCCAGCCCTCCGTGCGGTCCCGTGGCTTCGTGATGGGCATGTACACCGGGAACGCCCCCGGCAATGTCACACCCCCCCGGCTCTCCGGGCTGCTCGGGAGGCAAATGATCTGCAGAGTCACGGGCGGGAAGTTGGGCGCCTCCACCTGCTTCGGGAGTCCGGACAACCACAAACGGCCACCCTTCGCATTCTGATAAATGCACGTCGCCACCTGCGCAGCGCGCTCCTCCGCAAGGGCATCAAACAGCTGGTCCCCCTGGGCCACAGGGAGCACCGCCGCCGGACGCGAAGGCTGTGACGGGGCTTCCGAGTCACCCTCGGGCCAGGCGTCACGCCTCCTCCGCTTCTCACCAGGGCCGCTCGGCTCTGGCGGCCGCTTCTGGGGCGATCTTGGGCGACAGCATCATCGCTTCGGCACTAGCCGAGCCACTGCTCGCGGCCCCTGACGGCCGGGCCGGGATGGACGCCTCCGGGTCCTCCACCATGACCACCTTCGTCACCCGGCACACGCCCGCTGCATGCTTCCCTCCGCAGGCTCTCCCCGTCAAGCGGACACATGCGCAAAGGTGTGCAAACCCGCATACTCGCTCCCCGGGGCATTGCCCCGATTGGAACGCCGGGCATAGCCTCTTGCCATCACGCATCACTGCGGTCAGGCGCCGGCCGTTGAGCGAGGCCGGCATCGTGGTAGCTGGCTTCGCTGCCTCTGCCTTGGCTTTGGCGATCCGCTTGAGCTTCTGCGTCAGGGCGAAGCGCTTCTGAAGCTCCTTGGGGCGTGGGGGGGCCGCCCACACCACCTGGGCGTCCCGCGCCTTGGCTTGGGCTGCCGCCGCCTGGCCAGCCTGGGCCGCCTCCTGGACCTCCGGCGGAACCAACTCCCAGGACTCGTGGTGGGTCAGAGCCGCAACCGCTCCCACCATCCTGTGCTTGGCCAACAAGGACGCCGCGTACTTGGCCCCGCTGTAGTGCAATGGCACTCCGGGACGTCGCCTTTGGTCTGCCAGTCGCCCAGTGCCGCCATGTCGAGGGCGCTGAACCCCACCAGTTGGCCCACCGTGGTACCAACCCGCCTGAACGAGTACGACGACACCATCGCCGGGTTCTCCACCAAGTCCGCAAACTCATGCCGGACCATCCGGTAAACATCGGATAGCGACCACGTAATCCCCTCCCGACGGAACGCCAGCCCGCAGTCTGCCTTCTGCTTCTCCGGCACCAGGGCAAAGTCATGGAGCCAGGCCGCCGACCAGTCCCACCCGGTTGACAGCTGTCCGGGTACGCAGAAGTCGAAGCCCTTGCGAAGGCGCCGCTGCTTCCCTTTGATGCAGTGCGCATGGACCGTCGACATGGTTACCTTCCGCACCTCCGCCCGAGTGAGGTGCTTGTGGCGTAGAACTCCTCCATAGAGCATCCATGCCGCCAGCAACGCTTGCCAGCGATCATCGCCCTGCGTGTAGAGCTCCTCCATCCGCTGCTCCATCTTCAGCAGCATCACCGGTTCCACCACGGCTGCCTGTCCCCTGGGCCCTGCCCGGCGCGCCTGTCCCGCAGGCGGCGTGAGCATGCTCAAACCCAGATCCACCCTCGCCTGCTTGGTGAGCCAGCGCAGTGATTGGGTAGCACGGGCCGGGGCAGCTGTTCCTTCGTGGAGGAAAACATCAAGGTCGACCACCTCCGGCGGCAGCGGGCGAGAACGCGCCTGCATGAAGGTGATCACCTCACCCCATGTGCGCAAGGCATTCAACACCGTGGCCCTTTCCGCCTCCGTCACCAACCGCTGCGCCAAACGAGTACATGATCCTTTCCACTCGCGCCGCAGCTGCTCCGTCAGGACTCCTGTCGGCTTCATCGCCCCCATGTCCTGCAGTGCCTCGCCGAGCCGCTGGACCTGCATCGTGATCGCCTCCGGTTCGTCTTGAACTGCACGAAGGCGTACCGCCGGAGCCCTCGAAGGCCGAGGGGCCAGAGGCCGAAAAGGAAGGTGAACAGCCGTCCCCCGGCTCTCACCCTCCACCACATCAGCCGCAGCCGGCAGCAGCTCGGACTCCTGGGCGCTACGCACCCGCGCCCACGAGTTGGCCAGGTCCCTGCCGCCAGTAGTCAGCGCCTCCTCAAACGAGCGGAAGGCGAACGCAAAGTCCGCATCATTCTGCAGCCCGTACTCGCGCCTCCACCTGGCGGTGTGCTGGGCGCCCACCGCGCCCAAAGCCGACTCCGGGTCCCACTGCCCCCCGGCGTCCCCCGCCAGGCGAGCGTAGATCCCGGTCGGTACAGCTGCCATGGCGCTAAGGATCCCCCAGAGAGACCAAATGGCTGAGGCATTCCTCGCAGATCGGCCTGTCCCGGATGACGTTCCGTGTGAGGGCACCACACCGCATGCAAGGGGGGGGAAACACACGCTCTCCCGCCGCAAAACCAGCCAGCCACTGCCCCAGAGCCTTCCCGGCCCAAGCAGTGGCCCCATCGCGACTCTCCCAGTCGCCGGAGGGGATCGGCTCATATGCCGGCTCTCGCCAAGAGACCCGGCCTGCCTGCCACCTCCTCCACGCCCAGAAGACGGCCTCCCGATCGAGGCCACACTCCTCGAGGCCGGCCAACTCCACGTAGCCAATGAACCGCGCCACGTGCTCGGGGACCAGCTGCTGCACTCGCATGCCCGAGTCAACGGCCCGAAGCTGATCCTCATCCAAGTAGTCCCAGCCCGCATAGTAAAGGTCCCAAGCTGCCTCCGGGCCAACCTCCGCTTGAACCAGGACTGCGCGTTTGGTCCATGTCCCGAGCCACGGGAACTGGAACCCCCCACGCATCTGCACACCCTTCCACCATGCAGGGAACCTCCCGCAACGACCCCAGGGAATGAATGCGAAATTCAGAGGCCTCGGTTGGGGGGAGGTGCACCACCACCACAACAGCCCTCCACAGCCGAACGGCCTGGTCCCGTTCCCCACGGGCCAGCAGTCCTTGCACGTAGGATTCGAAGTCCATGAGGGCGTGCAACATCCGCGCCTGACAATGGGCCACCAAAAGGCCTGCATCGGCGCCAGACATGCCGGAGTCCCACTCCAGTCAACAATATGACCGAAAACCAAAAAGGTGTCTGCCAATTTGGCTCAGTCTTGATCCAAAATGGCAGACCCATAACAATTGATGATACATGTTCACCCAATGCCTGCCAAGCTCTAAACATGGCATATATATAACCATAATAACATGATAGAAGTTGATGAGTTTCATCATCGTATGCAGGCCAGCAAACGCCCATTTTGTGGCTGTCTTCCATCAAATCCACCACAAGCAGTGAGGTACCGCAGTTCATCAAGCAAGACCCTAATCAACCAGTGCTGGGGGGGGGGCCATCTGTGATCTACCGAGCGGGTGATCTCCGACGCTCACTGATCTGGTTCGCGGCATTCAAAGCCCGTTCAGAGCGTGCGATTCAAACGACGTCCAGCGGAATGACTTCCAACCCGTGCCCAAAGATCGGTTCTTCCAGGGGCTTCGAATTCTATCAGCCCCAACTTCCAAAAAACAACAACAACAAGTGGCAAAATTCAAGTGTGTCAGAAACCTTTGGGGGAGACACTTGGCAGTGTGCCGGCAGGTTTTCCAAGAGAGTTCGATCCTATGTCGCAAAGCGTACTTTTCCTGTGGCTGGCTACATACATGCATCCTTTCCTGACCTGTTGAGCTACTTGCCTGACACAGTTTTGCCTCCTATTGGAAACTAAGCAGGAACCTAGCAACAGAAAGTTAAACAAATGTGAAATAGAACTGGTAAGCTTCTTGGTGCTGAAAGGAAGCCATGCAACACGCAGGAAATGTAGGTGTGCCTCACCGGACACATGCTCACTTTGGGAACCAAACCACGAGATGTCTAGTTTTGTCTGCACAAAGGACCATAAGATGAACGCCTCGGCGCCCGGCATGTTAAGACTATGTTTGTTGGCTTGTTGCAAAACTTCACCAACCATAAATAGAAGTAATAAAGCAACAATGAAAAGACTCAACTTTTGGGCCATGTCCAAAGAAGTAGATCCAAAAACGGAAACAAGAAGGACCCATCTCATTGATTCATTTGCGTTGGCAGTTGCGAGCGTACTCAGAGGCCCTGACTCCCCTGCAAATTGACAAGGACTCCCGAAAAGAGGACCGACATCAAGAGGTTCTTCTAAATACAATTGCTGTTCGTGTGTTGAGCCTTCAGGAGAGCAATCTGTACTTGTCCGCGGTTGGCTGTAGCTGCTATAGCTCAAGCCTGGACACCGAATTGGACATCGTGAACACCACCATTTTACCAAATGATGTAGCATGCTAGCACACATTGACCCTCAAGCACATATGTACCCACCCACTCTCCAAATCCACACAAATATCATGAGCAGATATGATATATCTGCTTAGAACAATGTTTCTTGACGCTTCACCTCTCAATATGTCCCATACACCCTCTTGTGGCTGGTCTCTCTGCAATGCGCAAGCCACACGCAAACCGTAGCGACCAGCGGTATCCTCCCGCCCCAATCAAGCGGGCCTTCGAAAAGGAAGCCCTTTCTACCAAACAAACGCTCTTCGGGTGTTGTTTGTTTTGGGCGGTTCTTCAGAATTTGCCAATGGTTCGCTGCTCTAAGGGCAAAAAAACGGTGCACGCCCTGCTCTGCAATTCGGTAGCCGCCCGTTTCGACCGGTGCGACGCTGGATGAACTCCGGAGCTCAGCCGTGCCAGCGAAAGACGAGCCATACAAAATAAGGTAGTCTGAAAAGGACAATCCTGTTGAAAGAATGAAGTACTGATTCAAGGCTACTCTCTTGTCCAGGGAAACATGGACACACTTCCTGCTGGCATTTTTCATGAATTGTCAAATGAATATATAAGGAACTGGCAACGGCGTCCTTAACAATTCTTGCGACATTAAATGGCAAAATTCGCGCGGACACCCTTCCCCAAGCAACACAGCCTAATTTGCACGAGCTTGCCAAATCGAGGCTGGACAATTGAGGGTTGAGCGTCGCGCAAATCGTGTGGCCATTGCACATCGGCAAGGCAACTGGATCACCAAAAAATCAACCCCTCACCTTCCAAAGAGCTGAAAGCAATTTCCGACCACAGCGCTTCGGACGCTATCAAGATCCTCCCACTCGGATTCTTGAAGCAGCTCCTCAGCCATTTGCTGTCTTCTCAGCACTGCCAATGCAGCCTTGGCCGAGGGAGAGAGAGAGAGAGAGAGAAAGAGAGAGAGAGAGATAGGGAGAGACCTGAATGGAAATTTGGCTGCCAATGTCCAACTTCCTGGCCCAAGAGGCATGCTGGTAGTTTCTTGCGATTGGTCCTCGTAAATAGCTGCTTGACGCCAAACACTAACCATCTCCATGCCATATTCCCGACTCGCAAACTGTTTCTGCGACATGTCGGGCAACCTTGAACACCTAAAAAGCATCGACAACGACTCCCAGCCAGCCATCCCCAATTGCGATCCGATCCCTCAACTACAAGGTACTTCGACCAACATTCGTAATAACAAGAGGCGCTACTTGGTGTTCTGCAAGACTCTGGCTTTGGGACACTTCTTTGGCAGTTCAATGTCAGTTTCAAGGGATTGCTGAGGGTTGCGATGCACATCGGGAGGCCAATTGCTTGGATGGCGTTTCACAAAGGTGGTGAAAAGGGATTCTGCCATGCAAAGGAGGCTCTCCATTTCAGGAAAGACCATGTGAAAGCTCTGCATATTTGTCAAATGAATATGCCGGTCGTGTTTTGGGACCCGACTGTGCCCCCTCTTGCCACCTCTTAAGGAAATCCTGTTGGTGTGACATATCTGAACAAACGTCTCCACCGTCTAAGTCTTTACCCTGATGTATATACATACGCCAATGTACATCCCAAAATGTACGCCACGTCTCCACCCGCAGGGCCATGCTGAAACGATGCCTCTGTTGTGGGGTTCATGGTGTCGCACATATCGGCAATTACTGTAATCCAAACCTCAAACTGAAGGATCAGGAGCCCTCCAAACAGAACAAAGCTTCACAGTTACCAGGGTCCCTTGCCAGGGCCTGGTGAATGAGTTTGCGCAAATGCAATAGCGCAAAGCCAATTGAAGGACGTGAATCCATGATGCAGCAAGCCAAACTTCATTCATGATGCACCCATGCCCCCGTTCAAGCAAAGCCACCGCCTCCTCAAAAAGGGCCTCGCGTGAATTCACTCCGGAGCCAGCTCAACCCAGCGTCAAACATGCCCTCCCAACCATTAGCAACCGACGCTGAACATTCAGGCCACCTTATTGGATAGCAAAGCAACATGCGCCAAAATACGACCTTTGTGCGGGTTAGCAGGAAATAACATATTTGCCCAAATTAACAAGGGCCTACAAATCCTGGGGTGAACTGGACTCGCATAGCGCCGACTTACACATACACCTTTGCAACCATCTTGGTAGAACCAAAAGTCAGTTCCTGGTCTGCATGCTACTCATATTTCTGCAGGACTGGCTAGCTCAACCAGACAACCCGAGGGCAGAATCTCCCGATGCAAGCAAAGCTGGGCGTTTTCAATTTCGGATATATAAATAACCGCCTTGCAAAGCCAACCTTGACCTTGGGTACAGCTGATGCCTGCTGTACCAGCCTGTACTAATTTGAATATTCGGCAAGTCTCTTCCCCCTTGCATTTGTTTCTGCTCACCAAGACCGTGTGGTCTGGAACCAGTACACAATCATCCAGCCCTGCGCGGTTGCCCTCAGGAAAACGCGAAAGTCTTGGTCTTTGGCGCCGTGAACCGTTTTGGTATATCATTCTTACAGTTGGATGGCAATATTGTGATCTTTGTTCCTGCAAAGGGATGCACATCACAGCCGAGATGCGTTTTTTCTACATCGACGCCCCTTTGATTTTCTGCTGAAATGGACCCAAGGGACGCATACCCAACCCTGTCTCAGCTCCTATGATTATCACCCTTGATTCATTGCCTCACTCATTTTTTCAACCATTGTGATTCATCAACTGGACATGATCAATTCCCCGACATTGGACCTTCATCATGCGTTCTCCTCCTAAGGTGAGCTTGTCGTAATCTTGAAAAGGCTTCTACACTTGGCAGCCTCTGTTCTAAGATCAAAAGGACCAATTGTTGGAACATCGCCTAGTTTTGCTGTATGTCTCCGTAAGCATCACAGCTCAATAAACCATCGCCCATGTAACACATTATGCTTGGGCCCTTTGGGTGGCATCTAAATGAACCCAACATGACCAGCCTGGAGCAAGTTCCCTAGATTCAAACCCACACATGTGTGCACTTAACATGCCTCAATATCCACCCAAATTCTCCAAAGTGGAGATCGGGCAAACCTGAGTGAGGGAATTCAGCAAGGTTCAAAAGTGCATGCTCTTAGACAAGCACAGACAAGCGAGGCGACTAGCACCAATCATGGCATGTGAGGCGACTTCACGCGTCGCTAGGCAAATGCCCATTTGGCATGTGTGGCCGGCTGTGTTGCAGGTGAAACCCAAAACATGAATCTTCATTTGGCGTTTCCCCTTTAGGTCCCTAGTCCTTCGTACACTTTGACCCGCAAGAAACAAGAAACCGGCCATTCGGAATGGCTCAAATCTGCACCATTGGAGGGAACACCCTCTCACATGGCGATGAAACTTCAATGTCTGATTCTTCCACTCTTGCTTTGGAGGGCTCTTAAGTTGCTGCGTTCTCACTGGTGACAGACCCCGCTTGCCCCATGGCGGTTCCGCTGGGGCGCGGAGTGAATTTTGCTGCACGCAGAGAGCCGGAAGGAGTCACAAAGGGTGAGGTGCAGCCAGCAAGGATGCTGCCGCGCCATCTTCTGAAGCCCGGGCACTTGTTGAAGTAACTGCCTCCTCGGCATGGCAAACAATTGCCCCTTTCTGTGGATCTTCAAACCCCTACTTTCTCACTTTGGCTACCCAAAGAACGGACTGGAATTGAATCCAAGGCAGCTGCGGCTTCTGGAGCTGCGATGATCTATACTGAGAAATCCTTTCCAGCCCACCCTGCAAAACGCCTGCTACAGAGTTGCTCACTAAACGTGTGCCTTGGGTAACATCATAAAAACAAGAAACAACGCCAGCATGAGCCTTTCCCGCTCAGGGCTCCCTTAGAATGCATGCCACTGCTGGCGGGCACAGACTTGAACAACTCGGGTGGGGTCAGCCTCTGCACAATCTACTGCAGTCAAGCAAACAAACACAAAAAACACACCAAGAAACCAGCAAACCAAGAAACGAATGAACGAAGAAGCCAAGAAACCAACAAACAGCAGGAACCAAGAAACCAGGAACCAAAAACCCAAGGAACTAAGGAACCACACACCAGCCAGCCAGCCAGCCAGCCAAACGACCGACCGAACGAGCGACCAACAAAACACCAAGAGAAACAAACAAACAAACAAACAAACAAACAAACAAACAAACAAACAAACAAACAAACAAACAATAAAACAAACAAACAAACAAACAAACAAACAAACAAGCAAAACAAGCAAAACAAGCAAAACAAAACAAGCAAGCAAACAAACAAACCAGCAAACCAATAAGCCACAAAGCCAACAAGCCAGCACGCAAGCCAGCCAAGCAAAGCAAGGGCAAAACAACGCAACGCAACGCAAAGCAAAGCAAGCAAGCGACACACGCACAAACACACCAAAAAGAAAGCAAGCCAGCGAGCTAACAAGCAAGGAAACAAGCAGCCAAGTAAGCAAGCAAGCAAACAGGCAAACAAGGAAACAACCGACCGCTCAAGCGATCAAACATACATCACGCCACACACACACACACACACATCATACCACATATTCGCCGCTCGCCAAGGAGCAAAACACCCTTGAGAGTCATCGGCCAGAGCGCCTCGTTTCAGGCACGCCGATGCGCAATGACAAGGACACATCAAAGGAAACGATCCTTTAGTCGTCACTTTTCTCATGAGACCCTGGGCTCTATGTGCTCTATGGGGGGGGGGCCCATGATAAGCCGTTAGCAACGCACAGGGCCTTGTGAGTTGAATAAGGCCGTTCGGCCTTAGACCCCTGAGGTTGCCCGACTTTCTGGCAGCGGCAGACCGCTGTTTGAATCCCAAAACCCAGCGGTGCTCTACAAACAAGACTTTGGGATCCCAGGGTTGCTATTGATTGGCAGGGCAGAGTGTGGGGGGGGGGGGGACAGGTTAATGAGTCGGCTGCGCTGAACCACACCCATCAAAGGACTCTTGGTATCTCTTGAAACTTGCAGGAGTAAATCACATCTGAAGATGTCCATATTACTTCGTGTTCTCATCCATCGGAGGTGATTCCCACGCACCTGGTCTATTTGATGTTGCAGGGTTCCCTTTTTGGTCTTCCCTTCAGAAACGTCTCGTCTCTCCTCTCCATCCCTTTCCCTGGCCTGGCGTGTCCCGGCACCTGGTCAAACGGATGCATGGGAAGCAAGCTGCGGTCAAAGCTCAACCCCCACTTCAGGGATAGGAGGAGGGTGCTCTGACCGTACACAGCTCACATGGTTTGCAAACAAAGAGACTCAGCTGGTCAGCTTTTCAGCCTTTTGGTTTTTCAGCGTTGCTCTCAGAGTTGATTCCACTGAAGAGGGCTTGTTCCCTGTTGTTTTTTTTCTGCGTGTGGCACGGTCGCGTGCCTTTGTCCCTGGATTGTTTTTCTGGGAAAAATGCTTTTCCCAATCTGGGACAAGCAATCCCCACGAGTCTGTCCCAAGGCAAACCTGCTGCAAAACCGGCACCTGTCTACAGGCCTTGGCTTGAGCCACCTGACAGACCAGACAGCCCAGCTGGACTTGTAGAGCGCTGCAATCCTCACTTGCTGCTTGTGAGACTGAGACTTTGGGCCAGCCAGCCAGCCAGCCAGCAAACGCCAGCAAGCTTTGCAAGCTTTGCAAGCAATCTTTTGCCAAGCCCAGCTGATAAAACGAGGACAAAGGTGGAACCCATTAAACAAGTCGGGAACCGAGCCCTGGAAAACCGGCGGCCTGTGCCGAGGCCAGCATCCACGTAGCCCTGGTTGCGCGTGATCCTCAGCTGAGATCAATAGTGCCTGGCAAACTCTCCAGCTCGCTGTAGGAAAGACCTACAAGCACGTCCAGGGCAACCCGCACTTTCAAGGAGAGCCACAGCAAGAAACACACATCAACCCGTGAGGATCTGCTGCGCCTTGAGGCGAAGAGAAGGCAAGAATCTGGGGCTAGATATTCTCCTCGGGAACAACCAAGGCAACAATCAGGACATGCGGGGCAGCCCCCAGGCGTGTTTGACATGGTTTGCCCCAGGCGCGCTTGACATGGTTTTGCGGCGCAACAGCTTGATAGGCCCTGAACTCATGTTACCCTGAGTATCCCCCTAACAAGTATGGCCATCTCTGGTATAGCACCCTCATGCACCAATTTCCAAATATCCAAGGTGCTTCTGCCGATTCAAAGACAACGGTGTTTGCCTCTACCGCAAGGGCGCCTGGAGGTGCATGGCAGCGGCTTTGGCAAGGGACCGATTTGGAACCCCAAAGGCGGTCTGGACCCGCAAGGACCCCAAGGTTGCCAGGGAATTGCAAGCGCGTGACCTTGCCCTGTGGATTGGGAACCCCCGCTCTCCAACCATCCAAGTCTTGGTGCGACAATCGACACCTTTAAGTCTTTAAGCGCCGGGTTCTCCCCTCAGCTACGCGCCAAGTTGCTCCTGCCGCTCCGCCATCTTGACCTGCATGTGCATCGAATGCATCTACGGCTGTCGACTCCGCAAAACAGTTCAGGTTGTCGCGACTAGTTACAAGAATGCTCTTTGCAAAGGGTGCCCTTCGCCTTGAGGCCTGAAAGCAAACGATTTCGAGAGAGAAAATGCATGGCGGGCTCCTGCGTGAGGAGCCGTTTACTGGTTCAGCGGAACATCCACACAAACAAATGTCTACTGACATTTGTACTCTGATCAGTTCCATTGGTTTCCGAGTCGTCTTGTGCCAAAAGTGCCGCAAAGACTGAGCACAGCCCTCAAATAGAGCTATGCTTCTTCCCGCACGTCGATGAACTACTTCCACGAGCTCCTTCGAGTTTGTCGTCTTTCCTGCAAATAGACAGCGCTCTTGAGCCTTGGGTTTTCAAAGGGAACACCAGCGAACACGGAAGGCCCTCGGCCCAGTACCGCGGCCGAAGCAGATTTACCCCTGGGCCTGGCTACTGGGCGCATCTGCCGTGCTGATGTCGCTGCCATCCTCACCCTGCCGGTCCTGTGCTGGCCCATGCTGCGCAGCTTTTCTAGGTGTTAAACAAATCTGGATAAGTCGGAGGAACGAAACGCCCATACCCTTGCAGTCTTGTTTTGTGGACAATTTTCAGGTATGGGTCATCTAGCCCCCACTTCGGCACCTCTCAGAGGCGTGCTTGCACTTCAGGCCATGTCAGGAGGGCAAACATCTCGGTGCAAGGGCACATGTGTTTTTTTTTTGGAAGGGAAATCAGCTAGCCGCGCCGACATGCAAACTGCCAAGGTCCACTTCAACTTAATGGTTTGATTCCCTTTTCCAGGGGATGAGGGATACATCTGCATCCACTAAGTAGATACGTTGACGTTGGGAAAGCTGGCATTGCTCTTTAGGGTCTCCTCAAAGTGCCTGGAAATAACATTTCAGTCTTTTGTGGGTCCTTTGCCCTAGCCTTCCAAGGTTTAAAGCCAACACATAGTGTCTGTTGGTGTGCGTGCATGTGTGTGTTGGTGTGAGGGTCGCCTTTTACGGGTTGTTTCCCACTAAACCACATGTTGAGGGTGCCCCCATTTAGAGAAAGGGAGCTCATAGGATTCGACACCCAACCCTTTCCTCCTCGCTCTCGGTCTCGCTCTCGGCTCTCGCCTGGCGAATGCGAAAGCTAAAGCCAAATTCACATCCCGAACACAATGGATCCGCAAGAAAGAAGCCTTCACCATGAGATCGCCAACCCCCTTGGTTGGGTCGCTATCATTTGACCATTCATGACAAAACGTAGCAACTGGAGAAGTGTCTGCTTGTGAAGATCTCAGGCTTTCGGAAACACCCACAAACAAACCATGCATGACTTGTCTTTTCAGAGTAGAACGGGCCATTCTTACCCACGAGCAGCCTGGTTGCATCGAGTCCCTAGACCCCTGAAGCTGACGAGGACTCTGAGTTTCTACCGTCCCGACACCCACAGAGCGGACATGCAGCCGGCCAGTTGAAGCGCTGACCATCAGATGTGCCTCGGAAGGGCGTCTTTTTTCCTGGTGGGGACATTCACTGAGCAACCCAAAGAGAGGAACCAAGACCTTGTTGAATCCAGTGACAGGAGATTCTACAGAAAGTTTGCTGACCACATTTTCCCGGGCATGAAGATACTTTCCTTTCCCTGTGCTGTACAGTGCGGGCTAGTAGTTGACATGGATAACTTCTCATCGACGACTCGCTATCCAACGGGAGCACACTGAGAACTTACAAGCAACAAGTGCACGAGGGCACTTGCTAAGTCAGAATGACAAAACACATCACCACAAAGTGTCACCACTGAAACATTGTTTCACCAAACAAAGCAACACTCTGCAAACATAGATGCAAGTCAAGCCTCGATAGTTTTGAGGAGCTCGAGGTTGGTTTGAGGTTTTGGCCCCTTTGAATCCCACCCGAGAGTCGAAGAGTCGAACGACCTTTGGAAGGACCCGGCTGTCGCCTCGACACCCGCAGCACCTCCAGGGGGCAAGATTTCAACGCAATTTGTCTGTTGCTCGGCTTTCATTTGTGCTTTGGGGGTCACCGCAAGAGAAATATCTTCACAGTCTTGACCTAAAATCCTAAATTGACCGGCTTTTGGGAAGAAACAGAATCAACATAATGACACACTCAAAAAGGAGGGCCCCCGTTCGGGATCCCGCAAGGGAGGTACCCTCTCTTGTGACCCCTCTTCCTGGCAAATGTTTGTAAGGATCTAATCAGAGGCTTATGACTGTATTCAAATGGTAGCTTCCCGGACACATCTCGACAAAACGGTATAGGACTCATTGAAACCCTGCCGGCCTACACTATACCGATACACACCGAAAGTGGGGGGCCGGGCTACATGAACTACATGGACAAACCTTCCATACTGCCAAAAGCGGCCAAAAGTATCTGGGAGTCAAGTGGTGCTAAGCCTGGTTCGCAGTACAGGGCAAATCCCAACATCAAATGGCTGCCTTACAACCCCCTAGACCACGCCCCTGGAGAAGCCTGAAAAAACCTCGATATAACATCACATAAACCTCAAATGACTTGTTAAAGATTGGGAAAGGCTGAACTTGCTTCTCGCGAACAGCCGAGTGATGATATGCGGCGTGCCATTGCCCAACGGACATTTTTCCGCGCACTGCGACATCTCCGGCCGAGATCTCCGTCGAGTGGTTTCCGTTGTAGGTCCTCCCCGCCGAGCCGCGACCGCAGTCTCCAGCGCGTTTGCGAGCACTCAAATCATCAGATGTGGAAGAGCGGATTGTACATCCTGGGGTCCGAGGGAAAGCGACCAAAGCCATGCCAATGATTTGAACTGCAAGGATGCAACACTGCTTTGAAGCAAACAATGTGCGTCATATGTGCAACTTGGGTGTTCAAGTGGTGCAATAATAAGCCATCACACAATTGCATGATTCCCGGCAAGTTCATTAAAACCAAGTCAAAACGGGCCAGTTGATTTCCACTAGCAATTCTGACGGAGCACACGAAATGAGACGTCCATGTGTGCCCAGCAAATCTAGCGACTTTTGCATCATCCACTCGAAAACAGCGTTGCGCCAACCCCCAGCTTGAACGTGTCTCAACACCCACGGTTTGGACAGTCTCCTTTGGGGTTCCTGCTCGAAAATAAGACATCCGTATCCATCTACCCAGTTGGCCCATGCACCAAACCAAAATCAGCTATCTCGATATAAGGAACTTGTTTGATGGAGGTTGCACACCCAATGCCCTGTCAGATCACCAGTCAGGGTCGCTCATTTGCCCGAAATCTAGTTTTCTGCTTGACCTGTGGGCTCACGGCGCCTCTGGAGAAAGCAAACAACTCTCACTGACTGAAAAGCGGTCCTTCAGTCCGATTGGGTTAAATGACATGTTCAGTGGAAAGCCCGGATCATTCATGTTCTTCCAGCAAATCGTGAATGAGAAGACGGGACCTGGTCAAGTTTTCTTGCGCTTGAGACAAGCCATCAGGGGTCGATTCCATTTGATATGATCTGCGGAGCTTGGATAGGGAACAAGTCTGTGCAGCGTTCTGAGCTTGGTGCACGGTCTGGTTCGGCTCGATCTCCCCAGGAACATAAACACCTCGCGGGAGATGGGCGCGCGCGTTCAGAAACCCTGGACCCCGCGGGCTGGTGGCTTCAGAAAAAAAATGGATTCTGGTGACTCTGGACTTGGTGAACCTACCCCATTCGCCCAGTGGTCATGGAAGGCAAGGAGATACCTTGTCTTGTAAACGCCATCTCTAGTGGGGAGCATGAAAACAGTTGGCTGAAACACTGCTAGCATTCTTGTCATGGTTGCTTCTCCTTGTTTCACCCAACCATGGCCAAGCTTGGATTCTACAGCAGGGTCCATGTACAAGGTTCATTCTTTGCTGGCCAATGCCAATGACATGATGGAACACTAGAAGGGCAAAAGGCAGCCTACAACCCCACTGCTGGTGGAACCGCCCCCTTGCTTGCCCTGCCTCTTTCTTTGAAACCAGCAACACGGGAAGCATTACGGACATTTGCCGAACAAAAGCAAGGGCTATTTCTTTTTCTGGGGTGGCCACAGCGAATCGGCAGCCAACTCTGCTTTTCTGGAGTCCGGTGAGTTTCTTGTAGTTTTGCGAACAGCGGGGTTCTTGACATTGGATGGTGTTCTTTGGGTGAGAAAAACAACTTGTAGTCAAGTGCTTTGCACACAGCCCTTCACTCCATCCAGAAGGTGATGGTTTTTATCATCAGAAACCAAGATGACTTTGTGAAGCTTGTAGTTTGATCATTCAGGGTTCGCCATGTTTACGCTTTAGATGCCACACCAACAAAAGAAAACTCACCTTCGAATTGTCTTTCAACAGGGTGCTGTTTTATTACAACCAAAATTGAAAGGGACATGAAGTTGGAACCCTGTCTGCGTAGATCGGGGTGAACCAGCACTCATCAGCCTGAAATAAGTGTTTAAGCATTCCCCAAGCGAAGCTGCAAGTCAGCGAAGTTTTGCAACATCGCAATACTTTGCGCAATCAAATGGCCATGGCCTACCCCAAGATGGTACCATTGGTTTTGACCCACAGCCAAATCTTTGCCTCCGCTCTCTTCGCCTCTTCGCCCCTTCGCCCCGCCTTGCTGGGCTTCCTTCATGGTGATCTTCCGCGGCGGCGGCGGTGGCGGAGCAGGGGGCGGCTCTGGCTGCTCGAAGGGCAGCGGCGCGGGTCGCTGCTGTGGCCGGGGCTTCCAGCCTCAGGGCCCATCTACCCGTTTGCGGACTGGACAGTCTGTCCCTCCTTGTTTTCGAATCCGTGGTGAGAAACTGTTCTAAAATCCGCAACCGCATCAACTTTGATATTTATCTACAAGCAGGCCCAATTCCATTCACTAGCTGCGAGACAGAACCTGATCGAACAGCAACCTAGATGTCTGACAGGGGGCTTTGGTTTGACCAACAGCCACACAAGCAAGAAGCAAGGGGTTCGTTGTGGCTGGCTAAAAAGCCCAAAAAGGTGTGTCCATCGTGTTCATTTCACCACACGTGTGTGCCAGCAACAATCAAGGTCAACACCCAAATCAGTTCCCCTCGGCTTCCTCGCGAGCGAGCAGCTGAACGTCTGCCTGGGCAGCGCCGCTTGTGCTGAGTTCGCCTGCGCCGGTCGCCAATCTCCTCCGCCCATTCCAGCCTTGGGCCACGCAATGACTGTCCAGGGGAAATTGCTCCAAATCAACTTGTAGATAGGTCGCGTGAATGCTCAACGACCTTTCACTCCTTTTGCAACACAACCAAAAGGGATTGTGTGAACCCCCTAACCCGGGAAGTATGCAACATTTGGTTTAACTGTTCGCAACAAGAAAGCCAAAGGCAGTCAACAAGAATTTAGATGCAAAAGTAATTTTACAACAGCTGGTCCTCGGATAAGCCACAACCTTGGCATCTCCTAACACCCTTTAATAAGTATGTTTTGTCCTCTAATTGTCACTGTCAAAGAAACACACAAGGAATCGAAGGGAGGCTGCCCTGAAGAACTGGCAAATAGCTAGTGTCTGGCACATGCCTGGGCCTCGTTCCTCCATGAAAGCATTCCCCTTTCTTTTTTGCATGCTGAGGCTGTCAAGTACGTCGTGCACTCACTCCAGTCGCTGAGGCTCTCATTGTGGTTGTCGTGTCTGGGTGTGCCTCACAGTTATTGAACTCCAAGCCTGGGGTGAAGGCAAACCTCGGCAGAGGTTGGGGCCAAGTAAATCATAGTACTGGCGAAGGACATGATATGGTCCGCCCCGGCTCTGAGCCATGTCACCCTCTCCAAGTGGAGTGAGCGCCATGATGTGAAGAAAAGACCCCAAAGAAAAACACGTTGAACTGCTTGCCCCCTGAAATAAAAGGAAAAGAAAGGAACCAAAGCACCTCCTTTGTGGCAGGAGTCCTGCAGTTCCTTTGAGGCCCATTTCAAGGGTCCCATGTTGATTTGCAGGCGTAGTGGAACCCCATCTCAGGTTCATGAATTCCGGGTGTTTTCTGCTTTCCTTGACACCGTGCTTGGGACATCTTGGGACCAGGCTTCCTTTGCCCTTGAGAATGTCACATGGGGGGGTTCGGGACCCGTGTGGGTCCACCTTATAGGGACACTAACCTGAAACCTTTGACGACAAACCCCCACACAAACCATCACACATGAACGAACGGATGTGTCCGAAACGAGGGTGCCCCTTCCAAACACCACCACCGAAGGGACACTCAGCATTTGCCCAAAAGCTAACGATTTCAGTTCCCATGTTTAGGGTTTGAAACGAATCCTTCAATGACGAGTCGCTTGGCTCTGGTCTGGCCGCCCTCTACGGGGATCCCTCGCAGCATCCTCCTGGGCCTGGCGCTCATTCAGCCGTCGAAGGAAAGTTGCAATATCATTCCACTAGTACAGAGAGATTTCTAACGACATCTAACGACAAATTGATACCTATGTGAGCCAATATGTACTAAGTAAATATTGGGGCCATACAATAGCTATACATACTCTGGGGACCACAAATCATTTCTAGTCAAATGAAACGTGCATCAGGCAGGACTGAGATGACGAGTTCGTACATGATGCGAGCATGAAAGTCCCCTTTGGCCGTGAGTTCCCCCCACGACCACATCCAAGCAGGGAATCCCGAAATAAGATTCCCTACGACCTACGATCCCCAGTTAGTGTTTGTGCTTCTCCAACAGCTTTCTCAGCAAAGGGTTGATCTCCCGGTGTCTGTGAATGCGCTTGCTCAAGCAGCCATATTCCCTTGTGCACCTGGCAAAATTGTCCAAAAATAGTCGTTGCCCGGTTCGGAAATCAAGCGCTCGCGCAAATCCGGCAAAGGAGAGGCTCAGCTGCAACGAGCTTGAAAGATTCTCAGAAAAGCGAAACACATCTAAACAAAAATCAACACTTTTGCACAGTCTGCATGCTGTGGCCGATTCTCAGGGACAGCCCTTAAGTATCCCAGGCTTAGACCCCCTTGACCATCGGG